GAGTGTTATAATAAAGAAAATAAGAAAATGATTAGTTCGCTCAATTAACCATCTTTTTGTCAACATTTGTAAAAATAAGTTCAGATTTTTGGAGAAAAGGACCATGAATTGATGCTTCTTTTAATTCTTTTTTTTTTTTTTGAGTTTTAGTGTAGGAATTTAACTTTCAAAATCCAATGATATTAATTTGCATTTTGCACAGGAATGGTGAAGATAATTTTTAGTAAAAATCTAAATTATAAAATCATGTTATGGAAAATCTTGGCTTTGTAGAAGAAACGCATACAAGTCTTAATTGCAATTTCACATGAATCTTGGAAGTGAGATAATAATAAAAGAGGATGATTTTGGCCATTCATTTTAAAATGGGTCTAAATTGCAAAACCAAGAAGACTACAAAAAGAGTACGCAAACTCAATTTGATGCTCGAAGCTTCAAACATGGCTATAGCCTTTGCGTTATTGAACCACATAAAGTCGGCGGCTTAAAGAAGTTAGCTTAGCAAGCGTCGAGATCACGAAATTGTGGTGGCTTTGTCTTGTTTCCTCCTTCTGGACCGCACTTGATCCTCTTCGGATTTTGAGTTCCATGCTGAAACAAAGATTTACATAATGTGAATTTGGATTTAATATGTTGTGTCCAATCTGATTTAATTGAACCGAACCGAAAATGCATATAAGTATTCAACAAGTATAAAAAACCAGTTTGTACAGTTGTATACGGCTTATGGTACATATATACTTTTTTATATAGATTTGATATAGTTGGTCTAAGTTTATATATACCAATTTTGTTTTGGTTTAAGTCTCTATATTTTATTTTTTTACAATTGTATTATTTAGTTTATCAATGAGAATGAGATTATTTAATGGCTGAGATAAAAAATTTATTTTCGTTTCGTTTTAGTTGTAAAAATGGTTGTTTACCTTTATAGTTGATTATCTCCATTACCGAAGATTGATGTTTTGGTTTGTACATACAAATTAAAAAACAACTAATTTTAAGTTATTAATGCATTTTTTTAACATTAAATGTTTTTTAATATCTATTAACAAATATTTAATCCGTTTTAAAACTC